AGCATTCATTACTGTCATAATGAGAGAAAAACAAAGTTAAATAAAAGCTATTTGAAAAGGCAAAAGTCTAGAACAAAAAATATATTATCTGGAGTATTTTTCTGGGTTTCTTATTAGTGTCTTGAGGACACAGCAGCACCCAGCACAGAACAGAAGGAAAGTCCCCAAACAAGGACGTAGCAAAATAATATCGTGCTGCTGCATCAGGACCCAGGCAGTTATTGTAAACTCAGCTGGATTAAAGGAGATGCCTTTGAACTAGCACATGGCTGAAGTGGAGACTGTAAATTTAAGATGATATTTAAGGTATCGGAAATGATAGTGGGGAAAAGGTAATTGAAAGACAAGCAGCAGCAGAATTGGAAAATCAATTATACTTCATAACAGGTTGTAATAAATTAGTTATCACCACCATTGATAGTTGACTTTTTAATTGTGTTCCTTATAGCACAGTGGAATAGAATCATTACGTGGTCCATTTAAATGCCTAAAATGTATTGCGAACTTGTAGCTTTCACATTTTTACTATAAGAAACACATTACAGTAGTTCTTTAAGTTGTGCAACTTGGGAAGATTTTATTTTCTTCGTTCTAATTGTTTTCCTATTTTTCAAATACTCTATTTCAAAAAACATATTTTTTTGTGATGGAAAAAAATCTTTAAATTCCTTAAGGAACATCTTACGGAAAAACCTGAACGAACTTTTCGGCCAACCCAATAAAAGTAATGTAAATCATCTATAGGCTCATGCCCTGATACAGCTAATTTCATTTTTATATATTCACTTCTAGCTGGTTTTCTACTTCTAGCTGCTTTTCTTTTTATATATCATGGTATATAGTTCTAATCAACGTGAGTATTTGGTTTCATATTTTAATTTTACTGAACACTTAAAAATACTTTCATACTGCCATGTACTCTTCATAATTATCATTTTTGTAGCTGTGTAGTACATCAGCATGGTCAAATACTATAATTTACAGTTTCCTACTTTGGGACATTGAAATTTATATAACTATCTCTGTACAATAAGCAATGATGCAATAAAAATTATTACATTAAGCTATCTTTATTTTCTTTTTGAAATTATTTTCCAAAGATAACTTTTCTGGTATAAAATTATAAGATTGTTGATTTTAAATTTTTTTAAACTTTTTCTTGCCATAAAACTTTGTTCTGATTTACATTGTCACTAGCAATGTCAAAGTATACCAGAGTCACCTCAATTTTGTTAGTATTAGTTATTATTCTTCTGCTACCAAATAAGTATAAGTCCATACTTTCAAATAATTTTAATTTTTTTTTTAATTTCTAGTTAAGTTGAAAAGTTTTCTATCATTTTTTGCTACTGGTGGTCTTTCCTGACTGACTTATTTGTATAATACATTCATATTTTGGATTGTGATCCATTCAAGTAAGCTTCTTATACATTATAAATATCAAGCTTTTTTATACCTTTCAGTTTTTTCCTAATCAGGACTTTTCTTTGCATTATAATTTGGTCATTTCATGTGGTAACATTTTCTGTCTTCATGACCAAAGCGGTCAGCTGTCTCCTTTATAATTCCTCTTAGTGACCAAACATCAGGCCATTACCGTTTCCTCCACAGACAAACAAATGTTTTCTGCTAGGTTTTGACAGTTTGATTTTATTTCTGTCTCTGAATGTGTGAGTCTCTTGTGTGTAAGAACAGTAGTGACTCCGTTGAAAGAGAACAGGGTCACAGCCTGCAGAGCGGGTCTCAGGTGGCCGAGGGGTGGAAAACAGTGGCTGGAATTCAGAAAGCCGAGGCCTCCAGGCTGAACAATAAGATGATGAAAACTGTTCCCAGGTCACCAGCTTGTAAGGGATTTCTTTTTCTGTTTTTTATGATGTGATTATTTCCTTTTGTCTTGGGAAGAACCTATATTGTCTCAAACTGTGCAAAATACACTGGTGATGCGAGGGGAAACACGGGGATGAGCCCAAATCCGATGGCAGACTGGTCACACACACACACGCCTCGGCTCCAATGGGGGAAACCAGGGGCACTGTTTTCGACTTCCAGTCAGTGGTCCTTCTTGGCTGCACATGGACACCTCTGGGGAGCTTTTGTAAACACTCTGAGGCCTGGGTTCCAGCCCATCCTGAGTACTGAGGTGTGATTCTAACATGCAGCCAAGGTTGAAAACCATTGTAATCATTTCGTCAAGAAATCTAATCTGTAAGAGCAGGTGACAAAGAGAAAGAACCGGAAACTACCTGTCATTTTTCTCGAAAACACCTGCATCTTGATGGCAAAATTTATAGTGGGAACAGGAAGACGGTCTTTGGACATAGCAGAAGTTTCCAGAATCTTCTCTTTACCTCCTCTCTATCGTGTAAGGTCCAGGTGGTTCTTTGCAAAAACCATGGAATACAGTTTCCAAAACCGGGGGAACAAAGTATTTGAAAGCAAATCTTGAACACAGCTAATTACTAGGAGACAGAGAGGCTTGGGGGAGACAGAGGGCTGTATTTTCAGCTTCCTTTCTTCCCAGCACAGACGGGGCACGCACAGGGCAAGCCTACCAGACACAGAGGCTCGCCCACACGGAGCACGGCTTGGGGAGCACTGCGCGCCACTGGCACGCAGCCCTTCAGGACTGGGTTTTTGCAGATTGGTGCTCACGTAAGCTCCTGTTCCCATGACCCACATTCTCCAAATGCCAGGGCAGAGGGCCAGCAGTGTGATCAGAGAGCGGAGAGCACAGAGCCAGCCTTGGCTGGAAGCTCAGCCCCGCCCAGGTGCCTCAGAGGTCATGCGGGTTTTAAGCCTCTAGGAATCATGAGAAGAATAGTTCATTGTCATTAACCTCACTGGAAAGAATATGGACATCTCAAGATACTTACAAAACAGAAAGATGGCATTTACCCCATTTTTGTGGCTTTGGAATAAGGGGGGAAATTCTCTAACTCAGCCCTTGCTTCAACACATGGCAGCAAAGATGTATTTCCTATTAGTTTGCCCTGACCAAACTTACAAAAAGAAAAAACTTTTTTTAAAGACTGAGAGCTTGATTTATGCCTTGAATAATCAAGTTATAAGTGGTATAATGAAAGTCCCTAATAAAATGGCTTTGGATACAATGTCTCCCATCCTCTGCCCAGCCTAACGCTAACCGCGACAGAGAGACAGGTCTTACTGGGGAGCAGGACGGGGGCAGGGAGAAAACTGTCTTGTCGCCGTTTGGGACGTTCCCCGCTCCACTTGCGAACATTATAGTTCCACTATATACTTTTGTGCTTATCGTGACAGCACCTACCTGCGGAAAAAGTTTTCCACTAACCTCACAACAATAAAAGGACCCTGACTTTTATGCTGTTTAATTATTACGCTTACCTTCTCGGAGCCTCGATATCAGCGTCTAAAAAGCCAGGCATAGCATCACCAACCTGTACAGTTTCTGTAAATAAGAAAACTAGTACGTGCAGAAGCTTTGTCTAAGCGCCTGGCACACATTTCAGCGAGTGGTTGCTGTTATGATTGTTATTGTGAGTTGGTGGTTCTCGAGAACCCACTTAGGAGGCTTGGGGTCAGAAGGCCAGAGCGACCATGACAGAGAGCTGTGAAGACCCATCTGTATCTCTTCCCCACACCACCCCTGTTCCCAGCACACCATAAACCGAGTAAACACACAGTGAATCGTTGAACTGAGCGATGCCCCCCAACTGCATCCCGGATGTGAGCCCTGCTCCCGTGCACGGGCCTCCTACAGCGTTTCAGGACCTGTAACCCAACCAGGACAGCCCATGGCAAAGTCTCCTTCGTTTATGACGTAGTAGATGATCACTAATCAGGGCAGGAGACAGGAAGTAGTTTTAGTCCCTTCGTTACGTCAACATTTAAAGAGGCTCAAATAGGGGAGTTCCCAGGTGGCCTACTGGTTAGGATTCCGGCAGGGAACTGAGATCCCGCAAGCTGTGCGGCCAAAATAAAAAATAAAAATAATAAATAAAGAGGTTCCAGTAGTATTGGGAGGCTACATAACTCTTTTCTCCTGAGTACGCTTTTGTTACTTTATTACCAGGATCATACATGTTCATTGCAGAGATTTTAGAAAATATAGCCAAGCAGAAAAAAATAAAATCATTCTTAATCCCAGATATAGATTGTTTCTTTAATAATATATTGTGACAGGTTTCCAGTCATTAGTCATCATTTTTAACAGATTCTCAATATTCCATTAAATAAACCTACCAGTACTTATTTAACCTTTTCCTCGTTACAGGAATTTTAACCTGCTTTCAATATTCTGTTACTGAAAACCAAGTTGCAATGATATGCTTATTCCTTATTAATTTTATAAATTCTTAGTAATTTGGTGTTTATTGTAACCCTGCCTTTTTGTCAAACTTTGCAGTGAAGCCGAAAGTTATTTTGCTCGGTTTACGGGAAACTGATTTTCTTATCCAGTCTGAGAATCTGCCCTCGGCCTTGGCAGTGCTGTCATCAGCAAGCTCTGTCCTGGGCTGCCCATGTCCAGTAACCGACAGGGAGTCCGTGTACTTGGATCCGAATGCTTAGCACACTCGTTCAGGGTGTGGGACGACTGGGGTCAGTGCCATGGGCTCCAAGCTCTCTATATACAGGCCAGTTCATTAAATGTCCAAAAACTGCTTTCCTAACTCCAAACAGCGGTTATTTAAACCCTCGCTGTCAGTTTCAAAAGAACTGGGCAAAAGAGCATGAGTGAATGGACACAAATCCATCACCTCTAACGGGAAGCAAGTGTGTCAGCAGCCCCATGTCCCCATGGAAAACAGCTCAGAAAGGCAGTCATGTCAAACCACGTGAAATCGGTTAGGTTGTAGGAAAAGGAGAAAGAATAATACTGGGAAAAACAATTGGCCAACCTTATACGTGTTGATTTCTAAGCCGAGTCTGTGAATTCCCCGCCATCCCTACGTAAGACCAATTCGGTAACAAGTTTTAAATTGCCGCCATGCTGCTACCTAACTGGCCCTTTTTTCTTGCAGCTGACACGGCGCTTGGCACCGACGACGTGTATGATGACAAAGGATGCCAGTGTGACGTGTCCGTGGAGGACCTCACCCCACCACTGAAAACTGTCATTCGGGCGATCAGGTTGGTGAAAACCTCTCCCTGATAATCTGAATCACAATGTTGCTAAATTCTCTTTCCTGCAGGTAAATCTCCTGCAATAATTCCTTTCTCTTTTCCTATTCATCCACACGCCTATTAAATTTTGAAGTATTTTTTTTAATACAAAACTTGACTGTGTTCAACACGAGATGGGTTATAAAAGGTGGGTGGGATTTGAAAAGCCAGGCCATACCGGACAGATTACATGAGAATTGGCTTGTTGTGTGAATCTGTTGCTTTAAGGACCTCTGTGTATAGACACAACTGTATTTTCTAAATTATTTGTACATCTTGGTGCTTCAATCCATGTTCTGTATTTCGTGTCGAAGAAGAGTCCGTCTTTGCTATTTCAAAGCAGGTTGACTTCTGACCATGGGAAACCTGTGTGTTCTGCAGGGGGTTGCTGAAATATAATTGTAAAGTCTGACTGTAATACACTTCCTCTGCTGATGGCAGAAAACTGAGAGGGTCCCAAGCAACTTGTATTTCCAGGATCCACTCCCCCAAACAATCCAGAATCCGGACTAAATGAACTGCTGCCGTTCAGCCTGCCCTGTGTCATCCCTTTGGGAGAACGTGTATCTGTCAGGGAATGCAGAGCGACTGCAAAGAAATGCCTCTGCTCTTTTTGGCTTTTCCTGCCTCTTACCAGAAAGCCTGAGGAAAGCTGAAAATATCCAACCCAGTTTAGCTACCCAGATACTCAGTCTAAGCTCAGACATCAGTATAATGGATTATGTACTTCTGGTCTGAGCATCCTGTTAGACATTGCTGTACTCTGTGGTCGGGGCTCACTGGGGGAGTAGAGGTGAGTTATAAAGACTTTGGTAAATGTTTACGGGGGCAAAGAAAATCATGATATGATGAAAATGTGTGCCCGGAAGGTACTTAAACATTATCTGTAGCAGCCACCTAAACAGAATTGAAGTCAAGCCTAGTTACTTCCCTCTAGAACCTGCGAGCAACAACCCTGTGGATGGGGGAGCGTCCTGTCCCGTCCTGTGTGTCCTGGGCCTCTCGTCTCATCATGACTGTTACTGACACTCCATGTCCTTCTCAAAGGCTCCCAGTTTGGACAATGATATGATCGCCCTGCCCCAGGGGATCCCAGAAGCCTTGGGTAATATTTAATCCCAGAAAACCCAAGGATACGTAGTAAAATGAGGTCTACAGCCTTCAGTTAAAGGGATGGAAAGGATCTGTCCTGCGCCGTCCAACACTGTAGCCACTGGTCACACCAGGCGATTCAAATTTGAATTAATTAAAACGGAATAAAATGTAAAGTTCAGTTCATCAGCGGCACGGCCACATTTAAAGTGCTCGGTGGTCACGCATAGCCAGTGACTTCTGTGTTGGGCAGAGAAGACGTCGTACATTTCCATCAGGGCAGGAAGCTCTATGGGGCATTGCTGGCCCCGAAGTGACCTCAACATTCTTTCCATCCGTTCCTTACAGCCAGCAGAGACCCCTGGTCTAATTTGCAGCAAGTACAGTAAAATCTTATCTAAGGGACCAGATTAAGTTTCCTAAAAGTCATACTTAACCCAATTTGTGTCCTTTCCTGAGACCTTCCGAAGCTTTCCGCTTTTGCCTCACAACCTGCACAAAGAATCCTGAGCTGCAAAAAAGAAAATGAAATAGGTTTATTCTGCCAGCTCAGCGCTCGAGCAGCAGCTTGCGCTTTACTTTGCTATTATCCCTTCCTCTGGAAACTTGACTGGTTTTTGTAAAGTCCCTTGCAGAATTCCCTTGCTCTTCAGAATTCTTTCTTGGTTCTTATTTTTAACAGGAACTTTATTATTTACACGTCTCTCCTTTTTGTGGATTTTGGAAGCTTTCTGCTTGCTACTTCATAACTCTTGATGGGGTGCTTTTCTTCCCTGTATCCTGATTCTGCTTGGTGCGTTTTTTTTTTTTTAATCACTTCTAAGCTTCATTTAAAATTGTTGGATTCTGTAAAAACATAACAGCTACACTCAGTAGTTAATAACTTAATTGGAAATCTTTGACTCATGATAGAACTTAATGTCTAAACATTAAAGGACCAACCACCTCAGTTAGCACTTCTGAAAAGGATTTGCAGGTATAAGTTCCTAAGTCATATGCAAAAGTGTCCTTTTCATGAGTTTAATTACATAACAAACTGAACATCAATTGACTAGAGTGCTTTGCCAGAACGTGCCCACCACCCACAGCGCACCTTAAACAGGATTTTCTGTGTATGTCACTGATGGCAAGTGTGAACCATCTATTACTCAACTCTAAAATGGCGACTTTGTTTTTGGCATTTTCCTTGTTCTTTTGGTTGTTTGATTATTTAATATGACTACCTGAACATGTCTTTTGTCTTCCAGTAGCGCTGACAATAATAATAGTTTTCTCCTAAGAGGCAAATTAAAATTAAAATGTGTAACAGAAAATATGTATGAGATGACAGCATGGAAAATAATATGATTACATTCACAAGAGCAAAGTAGGAATTCTTATTTTCAGTTATTAATATTTATTCAGCATCTGACATTTTCTAGTTATTTTTGAGAATAAATATTCTTGGGCAATAAGATAATTAAGGTCATTCTCTGAATTCATCTGGATTCTATTACCCAAATTCACCGAGACTTGTTTTTTTAATGAATGACATCACTTTTTATAGTAGTGAACAACAGCTATTCTTAGATATTTCCAAACTATGCCTTAAAAGACAGAAGAATACTTAGTTTTGTATAGTTCCTCCAGGATTACCACAGATTTTTTTCAAAATATTATTTAATTGGAGTGTGTGAAGTTGTTGAAAATGGGTTTTCAAACTCATCCCTGGGGGTGAAAATTGAACTTATTTTTAAGAAGAGTTCTATCTATCTTGTTAATGATTTAATTCAAACAATGTTAAATTTCTTTTCATCCACTCATACAAATTAATTTCTAAATAGAAAAATGAAATTAGCAGGGAAGTAAACAGATTGACAAGCAAACTGATAAACTCTTGAACATTCTACACACCCAACTCCAACTATACAGTTGACCCTTGACCAATGCAGGAGTTAGGGGCCCCGACCCTCCATGCAGTAGAAAATCTGCATGTAACTTATGACTTCCCCCAAACGTAACTACCAATAGCCTACTGTTGACCAGAGGCTTCCCGATAACATAAACAGTCAATTAACACATATTTTGTATGTTATATGTAGTATATACTGTATTCTTACCAAAAATGAAGCTAGAGAAAAGAAAATGTTATTAAGAAAATCACAAGGAAGAGAAAATACATTTACAGTATTGTACTGTGTTTATTGATACAGAAGTATGCTTACAAGATGAATCATCTATCAGTACCTACATCAAAATTGTCTTATACGATACAAAACGCTATAGATGTTATATGTGTTCCTAACACTAGACATCAAAAACGAAAAGATAACATGAAAAAGAAGTACATATTTATTTACAGGTATAACGATTCATGCACTGATAATGAAGAAGCAGCAGTATGATTGCTTCATGGTAGCTTAGCTTGTACACTAATGAATGAATTGTTATTAAAAATTTTACTGCACACAGTATCACAGTTACATCCATAATACAGTATTGAAACAGTGTTAGATTTTTTAAAAAAACACTTCCCTGTGATGATAGGCTGATATGCAGTTTCTCCCATTATGAGAGAGAGAGAGGCATGCTGTACAGTAATGAAATTCTTTGAAAGTAAAGTCATAAAACAGTAAGAAAACTAACACATTATTAATTTTATATTAAATATCAGTCATGCTTAGGTAAAGATCAACTAGTATCTACATATTTTATGTATGACACACCTAACTTTTTCTTAACTTTTTCACCATCTCTAGCTACACAGTTCGTCTTTTCAAATTGTCACAAATCTCCAACAAATTTCCCAATATATTTATTGAAAAAAATGCACATATAAACGGACTCAAGCAGTTGAAACCCGTGTTGTTCCAGGGTCCCCTGTATTATGGTGAATTCACTTGCTCGGGCTGCCATAACAAAATACCACCAACTGGTTTAACCTTAACCACCAAAGGTTTATTTTCTCACAGTTCTGGAGGCTCAAAGTCAAAGATCAAGGTGTTCACAGGGCTGGTTCCTTCTGAGGCCTCTCTCCTCGGCCTGCAGACAGCCACCTTCTCACTGTGTCCTCACGTGGTCCTTCCTCTGTATGTGTCTATGTCCAAATTTCCCTTCTTATAAAGACAGCAGTCAGAGTGGGTTAGGGTCTGTGCCAACATCTCACATTAACTTATTCTCCTCTTTGAAGGCCCCATCTCCAAAGCCAGTAACATTCTGAGGTCCTGGGGCTTCAACATATGAACTGGGGGGGGGGACACAATTCAGCCCATAACACATGGCAAGACACCAATTTTCCTATCACTGTTCGAAAAATATTTTCCCAGGCACAATATCAAAATTTTCAGATTAAAACTAAGCCCATCAGCTACCCGGATAATCCTTCGCAGTATCAGACATCCGGGAATATCTGAAGAGGCTGACTGGCTTGCCTTTCAGGCTTGCACTTGGCACTGTGGAACACTACGTAAGTGTGAGTCTTGGGCAAATTTTCACGCAAAAATTAAGACATGCTCATGTATTTGAAATAATAAATTTTAAAGGTCACAGTCAATACAACTCTACGTTTATAAAAGGGTCTTGGAATAATCATTTTTTTAAATACAAAAGAGATGTTTGTATTTGTTTTCCCACCGCACGACAAGGGCTGGATAAGTTCTCAGCAGTGCACAGCAGGACAGCACACGAGGGCTGTGTACAGGCCTGGGCGGCTGGGGAAACAGCTTGGTCTGTGGGAACCTTGTGGGCGAAGCTTGCCTGCTTCTCACCAGTATTTTTTCATAAAATCGCTACATCTAGGGTCAGGGCCACTCCTAACGAGGTCCTCAGCAACAGTGGCTCTCCTTAACGTAACTGTGTTTTCTGTCAGTTGGCAAGAAATGAATCAGAATACGGTG